ACAAAACCCAACAAACCAAAATAAAACAACAAAACCAACTAACCCAACACACAAATACAGTAACAACAATATTGAAATTCAGTTTTTTTTAAAGTAAAAAAAAATTAATTAAAAACTCTCGAATCAAATAAAAAGCCAAACAATGCGCCTTATGGTAAAACAAAATTAAAGATAAAACGGAAAGTAAATAAAGCCAAAACGCTGCACTCAACAGACTCAAAATGGCTGGACTTGAAGACCTAAAAGATGCTGTGGGACTTAACAGTAACTTGTGTAACCTCTGCAAGGTCAGCCATTGCAAAGGATCAAACATAATGCATAACAAATCGAATAAAATAAGATATCCCACACTGAGTCCCAATCCAAATGTCCTGATATAAGAGGTAATAAGTCAGCTTAACATAAAGACTACTTCACACACACACACACACACACACACACACACACACACACACACACACACACACACACACACACACACACACACACACACACACGTGCATAAAACTCTCATCTCAAACCGGCAGCAATACATTTAATTGTTTGGATATCTTTTTTCTTCTGTCCTGAATAAAGCAAAAACAAAAAGCACATAAACCAAAGTTGTAAACGTGGGTGGCTGCCGGGTGCTCTGGTGAGGATTATTCCTTCTTTCCTATCAAACATCCATTGTCCTGATCTCTCCTCCTCCTCCTCCTTTTTTGTTGTTTTTGTATGCCACACTCCTGTGCCTCCTCTAATCTTCGACAATTACATTATTATGACCAAATTGTGCAGCAAATGACGTAGAACTCTTACTTACCAAAACTAAACGATATCAAATACAGATGACAAGGCGCAGTGCGTTGTATATTATTGTTAGAAAGAAAGCAATACGGGGTGCCCACTACGGACGGGATCGGCCGATCGAGGCGATCGCCCGACTCGATCGCCTCAAACTGAAAACAACGGGCGATCGAGTCGGGCGATCGCCTCGATCGGCCGATCCCGTCCGTAGTGGGCACCCCGTACAAGCCTACATTACCAATCACACAAACAGTTGGAGAATGATATAGGTTTGTTATTATTACACAAGTAATACAGGTATTAATTGTGATAACCCGAGTTAGAGATGGGTAAGTAAAGCTATATCTGCTACTGAGGAGGAAAACCAATTTTCAAAAGGTGAGCATGTGTTGTAAATATTATTCACCCTACAGGCATAATTTAGGTTACTAACGAGGGTTGGTTCTTGTTTTTTTTCAGCTCGCAACTGCATAAGGTCATATGAGCGCCAGAAGATTAGAGGTGTTACAAGAGAGAAACAAACATAAAAAAGAAGGAGGGGAGATGAGAACGATAGACGTTTGACAGGAAAGAAGAAGCAAACCACACCAGAGTACCTGCCAACCTCCCACTTTTTTCATGCGCAGCTCAGGTGTGTTGGTACAATGAGGACAGAAAATAAATATTACATGCACATACACGGAATGACAGACAGACAGACAGACAGACAGACAGACAGACAGACAGACAGACAGACAGAC